CCTTTCTGAATAGTTTGAGTGCTGGTGCAGCCATGTTCTGTATGCGTTTTACACGTTCAAATTGTAAAATGTTACTTCAAGACTGAGTTGATGCAGCACCGAGCCTCACTCTAACTGGGGAAGTAATGGACCAAGTGGATAAGTTTTGTTATTTGGTCAGCTGCATCTCACCCGGATGACGTGTCCGCTCGCATACAGAAGGCTCGGTTGGCATTTGCTAACTTGAGACATCTGTGGCGCCGTCGCGATATCCGACTGTCTATGATGGTTCGAGTGTATGCGGCGACAGTTCGGCCAATCCTGCTTTACGGTGCAGAAAATTGGCCATTAGGAAAACAAGATAAAGACAGACTGTCGGTGTTTGAACACTGTTGTCTGCGCAGCATTGCGCCTGTCTGGTGAGGTAACCGGATGAGGAATACTGAGGTCAGGCGCAAGGTTTTAGACAACTGCGTTCGCCCACCGTCGCAAGTGGTCGACCTCCATAGATGACGTTGGCTGGGGCATGTGTTACTCATATCAGCAGATTGGTTGCCACGGCGAGCGATGTTTGCCTATCCGGTAATGGGTGGAAAAAAGCCAAAGGTGGTCAAGTTAAGACTTGGCACGAGGGTATGAAAATCCTGACCATGGAACTGGGTCGCATAGGTGCCGTTAGGCTCCCTGGCTGGGGATCTCGGGATGATCGTACCCGATGGTTAGAGACACTGAGTGATATGGCTGGGTGTCGTAAACTGTTGCGTTCGTGCATCTCAATTTCTCCGTATCATTAGTTCACTGAACTTTTCAATTTTCTTTTCGATCCTACTTTTAACCTTTCCAGTCTTTTTCCTAATGTTCGTCGAAATGGACAGCCGAAAGATAGCGACCGAATTCGACGCACAATAATGCAGGATGATGGTTATACAAAGTGAACTGAACTGATGGCCAATGTCTGCCAAGTGAGCGAGAATCTACTCAGACAGGGCGGATGGTGCTCTTTCATGCGGATAGATAACTGCTGTGCGACCGACGAATAGTGTCACAAACGCATCTTCTGAACGATTAAACAATCTTTGAAGCGGTCTACATCGGTAGTTTGTCTGTATTCTGTATGATTGTCAGTGGCGAACTTTTGCAAGAGCAGCGTAGGTGCGCGGCGTTGAATTTGGCTTTTACCGTTCCAGCTGTATCACTCAAATGATAAGCATAGTTAGATGTGTACATGAGATTTTCATAAAAATTCACTTGTCTATTCATTTGATGCAATCGATTTTCTCGCTTTCTTTAGACCTCTGTCAGCGTAAGTTGTCCGGTCAAATATTGTTTTACGCACTTCGATCAGTTTCGCACATGCACACAGACATAAGCACCCACTTTATTGCAAAAGTGATTCCTTTCGCTTCCCAACTCCAATCCAGTTTTTCCTCTAATGCGTTGATAGCCACCAGCCCCCCACCCCCTCGCGCTCCAGGTTCACTATGAACACAGGCTTAGTACTTTTACCCATCATTTGATATGTACCATGGTCCGTTACATGGTAATCGAACTTTTTACAAACTATTTTCTCTGATGTGCACCGGTTTGTAAGCCTCGAGTCTCCGCTTTTCTAATCAACTTGGCTGTCAATATTACAATCCACCCGAATTCCACGTTTCTCAACTTCGATCACTGGGTCCACTGACGAAACGTTGGGTCCCGACGTCCATTATTTGTGTTCTCAATTGTTATTCACACGAGTAAATAGTACCGGCTCCAGTCCATAGGGAATTGCTAACTTATGAATCAGCCAATACATTGTAAAGAATAGTAGCGACTGCCTTTTCAGTCAGTGATTGAGTGTAATGCTGTAGTCCTGAAAGATACCAGTTAGGTTTTGTTCTAGCAGTCACTTCAATAGCTCATCCGACTTCGTTATGTACTTCGAACCGCGCACGGTGCCATTGGTTAAAATCAGTTTGTGCCTACGATCAGATCAGATCAAATGCCTTCCGAACAGATCATTCGTCACCTTAATAATACAGTCGTTCTGTTTCTGTAACTGTGTCAGTTCGATCTCAAGGCTCTCACCTTTCCACCTATTATTCGTTACTGAAGCCTTATTACATCACTCTACAGGATATTGATTCTTTCCGCGCAAGTGACACCGATACATCGTCCACCTGAGGACATTCCGTAATCCAATGATTTTTACCGACCATTGGCCATGGGAACTAAAGTTTTTCAACACTCGTCATAGTGTATGTTCTCAAGTGGGAAAAGTGCATCATTTTTTATAACACACCAGTGTGTGATGAACGGCAGACGAGGCGGACCCCGTGCTCACGAGGACCGGTTGTTCAGTAACGGTAACCGGCAACCCTATCCCCGGGACTAGGAGTGACGAACCACATAAGGCCCCTTAGGTCAGGCGTGGTATAGAACCGGGTGACAGCAAGGCTGCCTGCTGTTTCAGGGAAGCTGGGATTACGGAACAATTCCTCTGCATTTATTCTTAAGGTTCTTCCTTTTAGTTTTCAGCCTTTCACAAATGGCCGACCATTACCAGAAAGACATACCGAGTGTGAAGGAAGGTTAACTGGGTTTCCTTCGACGGAATCAGGTGATCTTATTATATCTGTTTATACTTAGGCAATAGTAAGCGCAGATCGAGACAGTGAGATGAACCTTCTGTTTAATTTTTACTTAGATGGGCTCTCCTTTTTAGGCAACGCTGTGTAGAGCCAATTCGATGCACACGTGCTCTATAAGTGGAAGAAAAGACCGAGCAAAACAATGAACAGTATTGTTGGAAGTCAGATTTCTTCAAACAGTTGACTTTCAGATAAACAATATACTGATTTGCGGGGCTTTTTCGATGGAAAAATCGCCTTCTGAATGGTTACCGAACAATCCCGTGATAGCATTGAGCGAACATATCATATAATGAAAAATGCTTACATAATGACCTGAACTTGAGCCAGTGGTTTTCGTTATGTAATCATTTTTCCACTATATACATACATACACATAAGAGCATGACTAGGAATATCCGAAAACAATTGTTCACTCACCGACTCGTTTTCCCAAGGTTACCGAACAATTTTTCGATCTCTTATAGAGCACGGATAATTGTGGGCTCGTGGCACCAGAAAAGAGAAAAACCACCTTTGATGCGTGTAATCAGGAGCCTGGTTGACGAAGCGCATTTGTTTCCAAATTTTTTGTGCTAATGAAATCGATTGATTTGAATGGTGTTTGTTGCAGTTGTAATATGTGAAACAGAATCAGAACAAGAAATATGTATATTGTTTAAATGTGAGGTTGCAAAAGATTTGCGGATTGATGCACGCGTACCAGTCTTCAGGCACAAGGGCAAGTGAAGGAACTGGTTTGGTTTATTTTATCGGAGTGCTATTCAGTAAATGTAAGCACTTTTCGTCTCCCCCCCCCAAAAAAAATCAGAAAAAAATGCATTATAAAATGGTGTCCGATTGGGAGAATGGTGACCGTGACCCTCCACATTTCTGGGTATCATTTATGTGTGTGTTTTAGTACACAAAAGTGCTTCTCAATGATTGTGAGGGTGTAGTTTCTGTTGTGTTCATAGATGACATTTGGGGGTGAACCACTCACAGCTGTCCATATTTCTCTCTGGACTAATGAATTTGTGTCGTGTAATGTTGATTCTTTGGGCAAGACAATTCAAAGCGTTGACAGCAGTTCGGATTTGGGACACCTCCGATTCGCAACATTTTCCCCTCAGTGACGGTCTATAATCACAACAATTAGCCCCGTTTTTCGCCAACAATGATATTTTCCGTTTCTTCTCCTTCTCGAGCATCGAACCGAAAAAAACGACAAATATCATATCAAATATCATATACTGTTTCGCATTGTACAATGTAGGCTGCAATAGACGGATTTATCCTTTAAGTGTCCTGTTTAGTAATCAGAT